TCCGATCTCCCCAAAACCCCAAAACCCCTACAAGCAAAATTGTCGTGATACAAGTTAAAATTGAAATTCGAACAAATTAAACAAGTTATATAGCGTAATCTTGAAGAGTAATATAAATATTAAATTAGAATGGATTTATATTAAGTTCAATAACTTAGTGAGCGCTTACAAAGCATTTTCAGAGGAGCAAGATCACCACGAAATGAGACTTAAAATGCAAAATCTTTACTGTCTAATAACTATCTTACTGAAGGCTTAACTTCAAATCTATCACCAAGAGAGTCAATGTAATTCAAGGATAAGAGAAGAATTATTCAGAAGTCACCTGACTTAAAATAGCGAAGCTTAATGTATATGCAAAACATTGTAAACTAAGGGAATCGAACTTCGAAATAAACTTCTAAGGCTCATCATCATAGAAATAAACCTTACTATCATGAATATAAAGAGTATTTACTTTAGGAATGGATATATAATTAAGATAGTGATGAATTCTTTCAATTTCTAATAACAAGCAATAAGTAATTAGCAAAAAGGATAAACAATGGGATTTTTTCAAAAGATTTAAATAATTACTAAGGCCTCAAGCTATTTTTTCATTACATCTAAGACCCTTAGAGTTGGTGGACCAGAATTGAGGAGCATTTCATTTCATCAGAATAACGAGACTACTATTGCCTTGACTTATTTGAAAGATTTCTTACATATATGAGGATATCCCTTTCAAAAAAGGAATAGCGGAAAATTGATCTTAAACATCCAATTAAGGTATGTTTCTTTGAAAAATCATAAGTTAAGGAATTCTTTGATAATCAATAGTTTATCTTAGCTTTATTATTTTGCTAAAGATTTGTAATTTAAGAAGACGTGATTTTTCTAAAGAAAATATTTCTAAATTGTATATAGTGTCTTGTTTGTATTGCAAGGAAAAGTAATAATAAAGAATAGTTATATAGATAACTCTATGGTAATCTTAACAAAGCTAATCCTGAAATTTTAAAGTTCATGATGTGTACAATTGATTAAAATTTATTCAAGAACTATATGGATTTGGACAATGACATGATGAATATTTATGAGTTTTACTATTTTAATATGAACTAAGGAACAAATAAAGAATTTTATAGAAGATTTTACAATTCAATACTTGTTACCACTAATATTCTATTCTAAAGATTACCTGGTAATATAAAATTTATGCTGGAATTTGAATAATAAAGCCAATCTTTGCAATTTTACATCAGTTCTGCAAAGCTACTTGCTCAATAGTTAATTAATCAAGACTTTTAATGATCAAATTTTCAAGAGAGAATAATGAATTTATTTGATTCAGGAGCCTTTAAACTACTTCTAAAAACCATAGAAATAATGTTAGAGTATATAAAATACGAAAAAGAATTAGGGTCAAACATTTTATTAAGAAATCTATACTTAATTATCTGCATTATTATGATTAAAATGAAATAGAATCGAAGACTAATTAATAACTTTGAGAAATCCTCTATATTGGGTAATCTATTTATTTTTTTCTCAAACGATCATCATTTTCTTAAAGAAGAGTTACCAAGGTAATTTTACAATGCATACTAAGGGGCTTTTATATATTTTGTAGACCTTGGCAAGTATAACTTAAATATTAGAACTTAAATGAAGAGGGCACTCTCCTATTTTGTAAGTCATCAAACATGCCTTACTGGTTAGATGTAATCGTTCGAAATAAATCAAAGAATTATATAATCTTACCATTATATATTGCTGGAGTATAACTAATAAAATAGGCCTTTTCTTTAGACAGTTTATGCTGCTTGTGCATGAATTTATTCTTAATAATACTTTCTTTATATTGTTTAATATTTTTAAGCAACTCTTTCTTCTATTAATAAACAAAATCTGCATTTAGGGGTTTTGGGGTTTTGGGG